AGGAGACGCCGCGGGCCTACCGAGACGACAAGAGCGAGCCCAAGGCCTACCGGCGCCGCGCGCGCTCTCCCAGCCCGGCCGGCGCCCGCGAGGACGGCGCCCAGCGCGGCCGCAAGTCCCCGAGCAGCCCGGTGGGCGGCGGCGGCGGCGGCGGCGGCGGCAGCAGCAGCCCGTACTCGCGGCGCGGGCCGCGCTCGCCCAGCCCCTACGGCCGCCGCCGCTCGCCCAGCTACAGCCGCCACAGCTCGTACGAGCGCGGAGGGGACGTGTCGCCGAGCCCGTACGGCAGCAGCAGCTGGCGCCGCTCCCGGAGCCCCTACAGCCCGGCCGTCAGGTGGGTGCTGCTGCGGCGGGGCGGGGGGGAGGGGCGGCGGACCCCCGGGGCGGGGAGGGAGGAGGCCGGCCTCGGCAACAGGTGCCGGCGCCACTTTCCAGGACCTTGTGTCCCGTGGTTCCTTGGTCGGTGGGTTTCCAGAAGTGGCCCGGGGCATGCCCCGCGCGGGATGCGTGGAAGTCCTGCTTTTGAGCGGAAACCCCGCAAGATGCTGTCATCCAGCCTTCAGTCCTGGTGCGGTGGGGGGGGGGGACTCGGGGAGAAAACCGTCCCCTTCAAGCCAGATACCCTTGGTCTGTTCTGTCCTTTGCACAACTTGCCTGCGCTTCTCCGTCCTCCATGCTCTGAGTTCCCCATGTCTTCCTTGCATCTCGGTTCCCTGAGGTTGGCCTCCAGGTTCAGTTATCTCCCTTAAATTTGCACGGTTGTTAGCTGACTTCTTTTGGAAAAAGAGAAAAAAAAGATCCTCACAGTTTTACCAGCTGTTGTAGCGTTCTCGGACTGTGACTTCTTTTAAAAGGGCCTTGGGGTGCAGATAGTAGGGATGGTTCAAAGTGAAAGCAGATAAATTTTGAAGGGTTCGGCATACCCCTCAGAGCAGAAAACTGCTCTAGAGTATTGTGAGATCAGATGTGCAATCCGCCAAAATACACACTTTCTTCTCTTGTTGCTTCTTGGTCGTAAAGCATCAGCATAATAGGATTCTATAAGTCACTAAGCATTTATTAAGCGCGTACTATGGGCCAGGCCGGGCCTTGAGGCAAAAACAGTCCCTGTCCTCTGAGAGCTCGAAGATCTTTTGGAAAGAAAGGGCATCGAAGGTTTGGGTTATTTTTAAAGCAAAATAAAGATAGGAACTCGTTTTTAGAGCACCCTCTCATGGTGCTAGACCCTCAGGTGAAAAATAGTGTCGTGCTGAAATAGAACTAACTTGAATTCACCAAGTTTTTCCTGTAAAGAGGCAGCTTGGAGTATTTTGCCAGTCAGGGAGTCAGGAAGATGCGTTCAAGATCCACCTTCTCTAGTGGTGCTTGAGTTTAAATTAGGCTGTGTGAGCCTAGGCAGAGTCATTTGCTTTATGTACCAGACAGTTCATGAGTAGGAGTTGCAGAATAGGGTTGTTGCAAGGAGTTTGCTCCCCAGGACTTTCTTTGACCAGTGAAATTATAGGTTTATCTCCCCCAAACCCCCACCTTTTAAAGGGAAAACAACTGTTCTAAGCTGATGTCAATAGGTAGAGCAGATTTAAACCTTTTCGTATTTCATGTATCTTTTAAAATGTTATGCCCAGTCCCAGAACTTTAAAGTAACCGACTTGGGGCCTAAAGCAAGCCTGTGGTTTGTAGTTTGACTGGTGAATGAATTTGTTGATTTGTTGGCTACTTCTGCCTGCTCCTTTGTGTGTTAAAGAGTATGGTGACAAAACTGAACAGTCCCCCCTGTGATTTTGTGGGCAGCAGTGTTTGTATTCATCGAGTATCAGAGACTTCAGAAGTCATCTTAGTGAAAACGCCCACATCTAGAGGATTTCTCTGCTCTGACAACCCTAAATAGTCTTTCAGGTGGGTTAATACTTGTAGGGATGGGAGTGGTTCTTTACCCACTGACACAGCACTTTGCATTGTTGGACAGTTCCAAGTGGTTGTTAAGGGGACTTCTTTTGAGTCCTGTGGTGAAATCTGTCTTGCCCTTTACTTTTCCCATTTGGCCCTAATTCTGCCCTATGGAGTAATGTAGAAATGAAGTCTAGTTCTTTATATGAGTTTTACAGGTGTTTAAAAAAAACCTTAGACTACTCTAGGGTAAACTTTATCTACTAAGTTCATCCCCTCCCCCCTCGTTTCAGGTGAACCCATATAATTTTTTAGACTTGGAAATTACTTTAGAACTAATTTCCGTCCAGCTTGTTCATTTTAAAGATAGGGAAACTGAGGCCTGTCGTGGGGATAGTGACTTGCCCAAGGTCATACAGCTCATAAAGAATGGATCTGGGAATAGACTTTAACTGGTCTTCTAACACCCTATCCTGGTTACGGATTTTCAGGTGAACCTTTCATCATATTGGTTGCTTGTACTCTGGACACCTGGTTTGCCGGTGTTCCACTTAAAATGCGGTTGACAAAATTGCATGTGGTCTGGCTATTGCAGGGCATGGACATTCTTGGTTATCTTTTGTTTTATTTGAAGATTTTTGCCATTAAGGAAAAGTAAAATTTGATGGCTGAGCCATTCTCATTGATCCATGAGAACAAGAATTGTGGAATACTTATCAATTATATCGAGGATGGCTGGGATTTCTTAGATGATATTTAGATGCAGGCATATATCCTGGATGGGGGTGGAGGGAGTAGTTAGTGGTTTCCTTTAAAAAGCAACATTAATTAGACGAAGGGATATTCTGGGGTCATCTAGATCCATTGGAGCAGTGTTATAAATGGATGGTTATAGGATGATGTTGGATCAGGCTTTTACTGCGTTACGGCAGGGTTTGGTTATAATTTATCAGCAACTTTATTTTTTTGGCCAGAATTAGTTGGGGCAGTGTTGGATATTCTGTCTAAGAATTGCCCAGCAGATTTTTGCTTATTCGTACCTGTTGGAAAATTAATTTAATACTATATCTGAGTCATACAGCAGTTGTGATTTGTAGTGCTTTTAATGTCATGTGAGGTTTAACGTTAGATAAGTCATTGGATGAAAACTGATGCATGAGAAGTAGTTAAATGAATAGTTTGTGGTTAAGTATGAAAATTTCTTCAGGAAAAATTGTGAGGTGTTTGTTATTAAAATGAGCCTTCCAGGACCGCTCTGGGTGCTTTGCTGTTAGTGGAAAGAGTTGAAGAAGGGTTAAGGAAGTTGAACATCTCTATGACTGTTTCTTCAGAAATAATTAATCCACCAGCCCTCCCTGTTAACTTTTGGATAGAATTTGTCACAGTTATTACTCAAGTTGTAAAAATTCAGTGACAATATTTGGTTTTTTGAATTTTATAGTGAACATTTTATTCAACACATACTTTCAATGCCTACTATGTAAGAGGAAAGGTAGAGTATGAAAAATGCATAGGCAGTTTAGATACGCTTTTTACTGCTAGAAGGTATCCCAAGATTTTAGAAATGGTTCATACGAACTTGTATTACCATGAAGTTTCATAGAGATTATAAGTAACTGGGTACACGCCATATGCGTAAGTGATCTTAATGCTTTATGCTGTAGGTCTCAAGTACAACAGTGTTTGTTATCACAAAACACTAGCGATATAGTTAGGGGGGAGAGGAAAACAAAAAGTGGCCGAGTTAGGGAACCGGGTGGTACACCAAGTACTCAATTCTGTGGTACCGACAGAAAGTAGTATTGAAAGGGTTAATGGTGCAACAGAGATTAAGGCCAAAAAGTTATAATAAAGAAAGGGAAAGTTCATTGTGGTCTGCAGTTGACCGAAATGGCTGGAGGGACTGGGCCAGTGGTCTTGAGCTGAGCTTGAAGGATTGCTGAGCTAGGGTATGGATCAGTGGAGCGGGACTGAGTAGGAGACAGCCACAATGACTAGTAATATGTGCGTGTTTGCAAAGTGCTTTGCATGAGGTCTTTGGTCCCCTACTGATCTGGTGACTTCTCTCCTTCCCAGGTTTGTTGTTTTCCTTCTAACCCGCAAATGTAGGAATCTCCCAAATCCCTGTCTAGTTCAGCCCATTGAGTATTAGTTACTTAAGCACCCACTCTGTGTAGGGTACCTAGGCTGGGTGCTGAGATGGAAAGCTCCCAGAAGGCCTCTCCCCTTCGATGCTTCTGGATGTGCTTTGCTATTTGCATGTGCTCTTCTCTTTTCCTACCCCCACCCCCAGTAGAATGATAATCTTCTTGTGGGCAGAGACTGTTGAATTTTCTCTCCCTGCTCTCCTGGAGCGGTGAGGACACTAGATCAATAGATACATGCTGTGTGATGAAGGAGGAAACACGAAGATATTGGGGGAAGAGAAAGGCTGCCCGGAGGAGCGGGCATAGGACCAGTGGGAGGTCTGCCTCCTTTGTACCCTTCCCCTTTGCCTTCATTTGGTTCTAGGGTTTAGCTGGCAACTCATTGTACACGGAGGACTCCTAAATCTGTATCTTTGTTCCAGAGTTTTAGCTCCTCATCTCTACCAGCCTTACGTCATTGTCTGGGTATCCCCCCTAACCAAATTCGTTGCCTTGCCCTCAGATCTGCTTTTTATTACTTCCTTATTTCTGGAAAGTGCTCTTTCTCCACCGAATCTGATGGTCCGTTTTCAGTCTTCGTTTTTCCCGGTCACTGGTCATCCTCTTCTCCTGGAGTCTCTCTTCTCTCTGGAGCTTCACCGTTTTTCTTGGTAGTTTGCTTGTCTGGCTTCTTTTTAGTCTCCTTTGCTGTATCGTTATCCAAGTGCCATCCTCTGTGTTTATATTTTAGGTCTTCGTCCTCTTCTTTCCCTACTCTGAATGATCTCATTAGTCTCATGAGTTTAAATTTCATCACTGAAGATGATTCCCAGATGCATATATTCAGCCCTCGTTTATACTGTTCTGAGCTCCAGTTAGTTTCTTATAACCTGTTGAGTGTTTTCAAAGTGGTTGTTCTGTAGGCATTTCAAATTCAACTTGTCCAAAGCAGAACTCATTGTCTGTCTTCTCCTTCGGCGCCCCAAACCTGCCCCTCTTCCAAATTTCCCAGTTTCTATTGAGGGTATCCCCATCCTACCAGTCCTCAGTTTTATGACTTCAGCCTAACTCTTAACTCCTTACGTATCTGCTCTTCTCCTGCATAGCCAGTCAGATGTTAGATCTTGTCATTTCTAGGAATGTCAAATCTTTACAAACAGCATCTCTGTGCCGGTTCTTAACTGGGGGTGTGTGAACTTTTAAAAAAAGTATTTTGATCTTTCTGTCTCAGTAGAGTTGGTTTCCTTGGCAGTCCTATGGATTTTGTTTTATTCCTCTAACAGCATGCTGAGAAGGGGTCCATGATGCAAACATTGTTCAG